AAATTTGACCTTGGTCAGTTCAGGGGGTGCCCCCCGCTCCTGTCTCCAGAATTGTCCCCGAGCTTCAAAGGACCGGCACAGCGCTGAGGATGCGGGGTGCGTGCACTTGCGGCTCGCCATCTGTGCCCCTGGATTCCACTTTTGCGTCCTCATTCTCACGGATTGGTTGTCACTTCGTGCGGATCCCGCCTGAACCCTGGATCCCCAGTGTCCTGACTCCCGAGCTTTCTAAGCCAGCTGATTCTTACTGCCACACTCTCACCCCTGTCAGCCTCCCACAGAGTATTCTGTTGCCCACTGCACCACACTGATGGCCAAAGAAATGCAGAGTGGGGCCACCCCAAGTCCCTGAACACAGACATCCCGGGGAGCCGCTGCTGATCTGCAGCAACACAAGATGAGTCCCCTGTCCCCAGATGAGTCCCAGACCCCTCCGACTTTGGACATTCCAACCCCCATCCCACTCCAGAACAAAAAAAAAGAGGGCCCCCTCTGAAAGCCCCACAATAGCTACGTATTGCATGTTCTGTCCAACTTGCCTTACGCCAGGCAATTTTTCTCTCTTCTGTGGAGAAACAAACCAGGCTTAGCCTACAGTCCTCCCAGTCTGTTGCTTCGGCTTCGACTCCAGCTTTGAAGCCCCAAAGAGAAAGTATGAATTTGGGTTTCTCTCGACACTCCATCTACCAACTCTACCTAAGAATGCTCTTGTCTCAAAAACTCAGAGAAGGTTAGGGTAACCAAACATAGTAACTATTTCAAAATAGTATCCCTCAAAAGGACTGAAATCCAAACAGTTCAAGAAAAGTAAAAAAAATAAAACGACACACAAAAAAACCATGCCTGACCTGAGAGTGTCTCCCAGAGACGGGAAATAGAGACCAGAGAGAGAATTAAATTTTTTTTTAAAAGGTAAATGAGTGTTGGGGCGCCTGGGTGGCACAGTCGATTAAGCGTCTGACTTCAGCCAGGTCACGATCTCTCGCGGTCCGTGAGTTCGAGCCCCACGTCGGGCTCTGGGCTGATGGCTCAGAGCCTGGAGCCTGTTTCCGATTCTGTGTCTCTCTCTCTCTCTCTGCCCCTCCCCCGTTCATGCTCTGTCTCTCTCTGTCCCAAAAATAAAAATAAACGTTGGAAAAAAAAAAAAAAAAGGTAAATGAGTGTAGTGTGGGACCAAAGGGGAGAAGGAGGAACAGATAATTTGGAGCCAATCATTATGGCCGGAGGAGACAGGAAGTTGTCCTCTCTGATGACCGGGTGTTAAAGGAAGACCTATATTCTAGAATAAAAGATAGGCTTATTCGACACAGAAGATGCATTGACCCAAACTTCCAACGGGGTAAGAGAAGGTGGAAAATGAGGGATTGATTTTTGATAGGTATGAAGTTTCAGTTATGCACATGAGTAAGTTCTAGAACTGTGCTGTGCAACACAGTCAACAATACGGTATTGTGTGCTTCACACTATGTTAAGAGGGTAGATCTCATGTTAAATGTTCTCACCGAGACAAAAACAAAAATAACACACAGACACAAAAGAACAAAAGGAAATTTGGGGAGGTGATGAACATGCTTTTAGCACCTTGTCTGGGGTGATGTTATCATGGGGGTAGGGACATGCCCAAACTCATCACGCATGAAGTATATCAATGCCTCAATAATGCCAAAAATTCTTAAATTTAAAAAAAAAATTAATACCATAAACAAAAATAAATCCAATATGGATGAAAGAACTAAATGTGAGACCAGAAGCCATCAAAGTCCTAGAGGAGAAGACAGGAAGTAACCTCTTTGCCATCTGCTGCAGCAACTTCTTACTGGACATGTCTCCTGAGTCAAGGGAAAGAAAAGCAAAAATAAACTACAGGGACCTCATCAAGATAAAAAGCTCTGCACAGTGAAGGGAACAATCAACAAAACTAAAAGACAACCTTTGGAATGGGAGAAGATATTTGCAAACGACATATCTGATAAAGGGTTAGTATCCAAAATATATACAGAACTTTTAAAACTCAACACCCAAAAAACAAATAATCCACTTAAGAAAAGGGCAGAAGACATGAATAGATGTTTTTCCAAAGAAGACATCCAGCTGGCCAACGGACACATGAAAAGATGCTTAACATCATTCATCATCAGGGAAATACAAATCAAATCCACAATGAGATGGGACACCTGGGTGGTTCATTTGGTTAAGCCTCTGACTCCTGATTTCAGCTCAGGTCATGATCTCACAGTTCATGGGACTGAGCCCCCATCTGCCCTGACAGCACAGAGCCTGCTCAGGATATTCTCTCTCTCTCTCTCTCTCTCTCTCTCTCTTCCCCCCCCCCACCCCTCTGCCCTGCTTGCACTCTCTCTCTCCCTCAAAATAAATAAATAAACATTAAAAAAATGAGATATCCCCTTACACCTTGTCAGAATAGCTAAAATTAACAACACAGGAAACAACAGGTGTTGGCGAGGATGTAGAGAAAGGGGAATCTTCTTACACTGTTGGTAGGAATGCAAACTGGTACAGCCTCTCTAGAAAACAGTATGGAGGCTCCTCAAAAAGTTAAACATAGAACTACCTATGATCCAGGAATTGCACTACTTGGTATTTACCCTAAGGTTACAAAAATACTGATTCAAAAGGATACATCCACCTTAATGTTTATAGCAGCATTATCAACAATAGCTATACTATGGTGAGAGCCCAAGTGTCCATCAACTGATGAATGGGTAAAGAAGATGTGATATAGATAGATAGATATAGATATATATACATGTATATAGTGGATAAAGAAGATGTGAGATATATGGAATATTACTCAGCCATCAAAAAGAACTAACTCTTGCCATTTGCAATGAGGTGGATTGAGCTAGAGAATACTATGCTAAGCAAAATTAGAGAAAGATAAATACCATATGATTTCACACATGTGTGGAATTTAAGAAACAAAATAAGTGACCATAGTGGGGGGAAAAATAGAGGCAAACCAAGAAACAGACTCTTAACTGGAGAGAACAAACCGATGGTTACTGGTGGCGAGGTAGGCAGGGGTGGGGGGGATGGGTTAAATGGGTGATGGGTCTGGAGGGCACTTGTGATGAGCACCAAGTGTTGCATATAAGTGATGAATCATTACATCCCACACCTGAAACTAGTATTACACTTCATGTTAACCAACTGAAATTTAAATAATAAAAACTGGAAAAAAAATAAAAACACAAATTTCAATCATCGTTTCACTATATGCTA